GAGAGAGAGAGAGAGAGAGAGAGAGAGAGAGAGAGAGAGAGAGAGAGAGAGAGAGAGAGAGAGAGAGAGAGAGAGAGACAGATGCCCCCCTCAAGTGGGTTGAGTGTGTATGTCTTCTGGCTTCACCTGGATTTCCTTTGTTTGACTGTGTGCCCCAAGCGTGGGCTCATGTTGGTCAGTTGCTTATATCCTTTGTGCTAGATCTGAGTAACATGTTCAACGCGGGCCAAGGAATTAAACGGCCGTTGAAAGCTGTTTTTAATTCCCCCACACCCCCATTGAATTCCCGTTGAATAAAAAACGGTGGCCCTCCCTCTGTTTTCTTTTCAACGGACAAGGTCCACGGGGGCTCGAGTGTGTGGCCCAGCACCCCTCTGCGATTAAAGTTCATTAAACCCCTGCCGCCCCCAATTGTGTGTACGCATGTGTGTGTGTGTGTGTGTGTGTGTGTGTGTGTGTGTGTGTGTGTGTGTGTGTGTGTGTGTGTGGTAAGAATAACAAGACCCCAACAAAAAACCTTCACACCAGATGACCTTCTCCAAAACAGCACATCGCAAGTCTATGTGCAGCCAAACATTAGTCCAAGACTCATACTGGCATGCCAACGTACAAACGGACTTCAGACTTCAATGACCAAGACCCCAACAAAAAAGCTTCACACCAGATGACCTTCTCCAAAACAGCACATCGCAAGTCTATGTGCAGCCAAACATTAGTCCAAGACTCAGACTGGCATGCCAACGTACAAACGGACTTCAGACTTCAATGACCCATCAAGGCAGACACTCACATTCAATTTGACGGTGAGAGACAAACAACAGCAACAGCAAGGAACAAAGGCTGGAGGGTACAGGGGAGGCGGGTGGGCAGACAACCAGCACCAGGCAACAACTGGGTGGACAGGGCAGAGAAACCAGAAGAACACCAACAACCCATGAAGCAACAGGGCACGACAGCACAAACACACAAACCACCAAGAAAAAAATACAAGTGTAAAGACCCGCCAAAAACACAGACTGAGAACACTGCTGATTTCTGGGATTTGTCACTGGAATGAATGCCTTACTGTGATTCCCACATTCTGCTGTGGTCCCAAGTCTGTGTGTATGCGTGCCTGCTGGTTTGCATGCCTGTCTGAGTGCTTGCCCGTTGTGTGTGTGTGCGTGACTGCTGGTTTGCATGTCTGTCTGAGTGCTTGCTGGTTGGGTATGTGGGGTGACCCGCAAGGGTACTTGTTGGTTGCAAGGCCCACCGGGCCGGTA